TTGACTGAGATAACCTAAAAGTCACTCCTAGCTTTATCTTCGCGCTAGTGTGGAAGTCATAATTGTATTAAATGTACTCCCAGAGGACACTATATTAGTGCAGGACCTCAAAAGCCAAAGGAGTATTTTCTGTCTTATTCTTAGATGTCTGGGCTTTTCATACATTGAGGAAATGCAAAAGAATGCCATAATCCAAGTATCCTTCAACAAGGATCGCCAAGCACCTACCCGCTCACTCTAGCCTCTGTGGAATATTCCTTACTATGTCTAATCCTGGTCTAAGCTATCATAAGAAGACCTTGCCTTGTTGTAGGCTAAATGCGCTGGCCAAATTGGAGTGGAGGCTGTCAAGGTCAAGGGACACTTTCCGTGTGGGAGGATTGAACTGTTGCCATCAGGAAGTATTTCTGGTAGGGCAGCACATGTAAAGGGGTTTCATATCAGCATCATACATTTTTCAGTACAGAAGCCATTTAATTCATCTTCTCAACAAAAATCATTTGAGCACCTACTGTACACCAGACACTGTTCTAGAAGCTGAGCACATGGCAGCAAAAAGACAGATGTAAGACTTACAGTCTGGAGGGATGGCCTGACAATAAACAAAAAAAGGTAATTATTTGTTAGCTATTGCTGCAACTTAGAGAAATTATTTGTTTTCAACTCATGTACCTGTGGGTCAGCTGATCTGGATGGGACTCTGCTGGGTTTGCTCAAGCATCTCTGGACCCATGGGGGTTCTCATCTCTCCTCCTATGACTAGTGAGCTAGCCAACAAATGTTCCTTTGACGGCTTTGAGAGAGGACCTAGTGAGAGCAAGCTGAAATGCACAGGGCCTCTTGGGGCCTGGGCTTATAACTGGCACCCTATCACTTCTGCCACATTGCACTGGCCACACTAAGTTCATGCGGCCAAACCCAAAGTCAATGAGCAAAATGTGTAGATGCAGGTTGGGGTGAAGAATTGAAACAATAATACAAGTGATCACTTACAGTATAAGGTTAAGTAACATAAAGGACTATGAAGAAACATAAAGCAGGTTCACGGCTCAATAATAATCAGGGACGCTACTTTTGGGTGGCCGGGTGTTGTGGCATGGTGTATTGTCGTAATCTTGGGTGTTTTTAGCAGGCTATCCCATTGGGAGGGGTCTAGCTTCAGCATTATGCGATGTTGTAACGCTGTACAGTGTGGGCTTCTGTCCCTGCTCTGCAGGTATATCCCAATTATCAAGGGCTCCTGGCACACCTGATAACTGTTGTGTCTCATCAGGGCATCCAGCTGGTTTATCACTGTTCTGTTCAATGCCTCATCACAGCAGCACATTCAAAGGGTACAAAAATTTGAATAAATTGTCTCTGCTGGCCAATCCATCAGTTGGGCCCTCTCCATACACACGTCATGAGCTTGTGCATATAACACACAAGCACTGCACACACCCACGTGGCCACCTCCACACACTCAGAAATGATATCTTCATCAGTCAGTCAATGAGAGGAAACGGTCTCAATCCCTGGCACCTCCAGAGACAGCTGCTGACTGTTGGATGATTCCATCAGCTCCAAAGCCAGGCTGATGTGCCCGGAAAAGGAGTATGAACCTGGCGTCTGAAGGCAGACAGAGCTTCTGGGGAGCCCATGGCTGCGAAAGCAGCTGGGGCTTGGTGGAGGGCTGGGGTTGGGGGAGGTAGAGTGGGGGGAGGTGGAAGGAGGTTTTCAGCTTCAGTATTTACTTGTCTCTGTCAATCAATCCATCAGCCAAAAGACCCCATTAGGGAGCTGAAAGGAAAACAAGACAAAAAAAAAACAAAAATGTATTTCTTCTTCAGAGCCCTTTTATCATTAGAGTGAAATATTTTTCTCCTATCTTTGTTCAACAAAAACCGATATCGTGTTTTTGGAAAAATGCATGCTCTAGAGTAGGAGATAGAGGGGAAAAGTGACATCGATTTTTACAGTAATCCTTGGAGTGTTATTATGTTATTATTCCCATTTTGTTATTGAAGAAACTGAGGCTTGAGGAATAAAAGCAACTTGTGCAATGTAAGTGAAGTCCAGAGATCCCAATCCAGCTCTCCTTTTGCAGATAAGTCTTTTTCCACCTTCCTAGCCTCCATGAGTTTCTAGAGGTGAGCCTCAAGGCCTAAGAAGACCCTTGAAGTGAACTCCTCCCAGCCCCTCAAGTCCAAACTGTGGGACTGAGTTAGGAAGGGATGGGCAACAGCTCAGGACAAAAGCCCAGGACCTTGGTGAATGCCTGCGCAGGTCCTAGCTGGAGACAGAGTCAGCAGGATGTCAGCCAGGCAAACCTACATCTGTCTTCACTAGTCCCTTCAGACAGAACACGAGTCATCTGCAGCCTGGGAATCACAGCCTCTGGTTCTGTCGTGGGTCGACGCCTTAGTTTTATTTATAGATGATGAAGCTGGGGTCAGGCTGGAATATTGCCCTTGGCTGAACGGAGCTGCCTCACCTAAGATTATTCCCCTCCTTGGAGGAGTAGCCAACAACTGGCCCACCGAGGGCACAAAGGCACAGCGCCCTGACTCTATTAGGGTCACCTGTGAAGGGTCATTCTGGCCTCCGAGCTACCGGGGATTGGCTGAGGCCTTTACTGCAACTGTAACGTCCTTTACTCTCTCCCTCTGCCGGTCTTGTTTCCCTCCTTCTTGCGGTTGTTGCTCCTAAGAACACTCCCCAATAAGCCACCTGTGCAAACCTCCATCTCAGCACCTATTCCGGGGAAACCAACCTGTCTTACACTGGCGATTAAATGTTCCAGCCTTGAAGTGACACATGTCACTTTTGCTCACAGCTCATTGGCTAGAACTAGTCATATGGCCCCACGCCAACCACAAGGGGGCTGGTAAGTGCAACCCTGCCATGTGCCAGGAAGGGGGAAAATCGGGCCTCTTTGGTGAGCGGCAGTAAGGATGATGGAACGGAGAGACCATAGAAAGGGCCGGCAGAAGTCTAAAATCAATAATACTGCCTTGTTCCTCGGACAAGTGCAGCCTTGGACACATCCTGCCCTTGAGGGTGCTTCCCTGACTGAGTGGCTGCTTGCGGAAACATGCTGGAGCATCATCTTTCTGCCATCTTTACCCCTTATCGCAGTTTATCATCTCCCGAGCTGTCCTCTGCTCTCTTTCTCTCTGTCTTTGTATCTGCTGGATCCATGGGCTCAGCTGGCCCCTGATTGACAAGATGACTCCTGCCCTGGAATGGGGAAAAGTCAGGATATTTCAGGATGCCTTGATGTGAAGCCTGTCTGACTCCATAGGCCCTGTTTCACTCTTATTGGCGGGCAATGTGGGTGTGGGTCTCCACACACACGGGTTCCAAGCTGGGACAACCATATCATCTGTCAAACGCTGTGACCGCACTTCTCAGAGGCTCAGGGGCGGGCGCCTACTTAGGCAAGAGGACAGTGGGAAGCTGGAGGGACGGGAAGAAGCAGCAACCTCCACCTCTCCTGGGCTCTTCTGGGCGCTATTTGGCCAACATTGCCATCTGTCGGGCCAGTGCTGGCTAAAGCAGCCAGGCGGTCAGATAGCATTGCATCTTCATTTGTGACCTTGGGACCATGGGAGATGACCTTGTGACCGAACAGCTGACATGCAGGAATTTTAAAAAGTACATCAGTTTACGTTTACTGACTGGTTATTTTGTCACTTAATCCTCACCATAACCTTACGAGTTCAGTACAATTTATACTTTTCATTTTAACCAGTGGACAAACAGAGGCACAGAGAGTTTGAGTAACTTACAAGTCAGTGGCAGAGCTGGGGGTTAAGCTCAGGCAATGTAACTGCAGACTATTTTCCCCACTTCATCCTCTGCTTGATTAAGTTTACACATCTATTTAACACACACTAATGACTGTCTCTGTGTTCCAAGCCCTGTGCCAGAGGTTGGGAATACAGCCCAATCCACTGGATCTCAGCACGCTCCATTGCTTAGTGTCCTACTATATTAGATGTCACATAATACATTTATTCCAATATTTAGCACCAGGGGAAATTATGTTGGAAGATATTTGTATACATGTTACTATAATAATAACCATGTAATTCACATGTTTCTCTTATTGCTTTGGCCACCAGGAAGCTCAGATCCAAATCAGAGCAAACATGTTAGAGTTTGGGTTTAGCATTTCAGTATTCTGAATTTTTCCTCCTGATCGAGATTTTCTATTTTGGTTGTGTCAATTCTTTTGCACAAATGTCTTTTATTATAACACATCTTAAGTCCTTTTTAAAAGAAGCCTGCATGGAAATGACAAAGTAAGGTCTTTACTGCATATTCTTAGATTCCTACCGGGAAAGGCAGACCTAGTTATCCATTTTACCCTCATTCCCATGAAGGTAAATGCTTTTATAAGCACCCCACTTATAAAATCCCTTGAGCAGTGGCTACTACTGTTCTGAGTCCCTAGGGATAGCTAGGAGCTTCTGAAAGACCACATCCTTACAGAAAAAAAAGTTTCTTTAAATCATGGCCCCAACTTTGGTAGCAGATGCACATTTGTGGAGTAGGCAGCCAGTCAGACTCTCACCTGAGCAGTTAATAAAATCTATTGCCCTTTGATGGATTTTTTTCTGCAAGCTAGAATTGATCTGTCGTTTTTGTGATTTGTGAGATGGCAGGGAAACACCAAACACCATCATGACTTGGGCCACATTGGAAAAAAATAAAAGAGAAGAAAAAAATCCACCACCAGGTCTTTCCAGGCGTAAAAAGGGCTGGAACTGCTGGGTCATTTTATTTGATTTATTGGAAATAAAGTGGATCTTATTAACATTTTAATAAAGAGAAATTTTTTGTACTGGGCTGGAAGTGGCTGCCAGTCCCCGATGCAATTCCATTCTCTAGAAAAGTGGAATTGCAGGGGTTGCCCGGCGTGATTTGTGAGGCTGAGCCCCAACAGTCCGAAAAAGCAAAGGGGCTGCCGCCTCCGAGGGGCTCGCTCTGCGCGAGGTGCTCGCCGCGTATCTGCCATGCAAAACGAGGGAGCTTTATGAAGGAATCCGTCTTGTAAAGCCATTGGTCCTGGTCATCAGCCTCTACCCAATGCTTTCGTGATGCTGCCGCTGATCTATTTGGGAAGTTGGCTGGCTGGCGAGGCAGAGCCTCTCCTCAAAGCCTGGCTCCCACGGAAAATATGCTCAGTGCAGCCGCGTGCATGAATGAAAACGCCGCCGGGCGCTTCTAGTCGGGCAAAATGCAGCCGAGAACTCCGCTCCTGTGCGTCCTCCTGTCCCAGGTAGGAAAGAGGGGCTGCCGGGCGCGCCCCGCGCCCCGTTTCTGCATTCCGATCGCCTGCCGCGGGCACGGCCAGGGAGCTTTCGGGGGTCGGGGGACTCCGGGCGCGGCGGCAAAGACAGCCCGGGGCTCGGAAGGGAGGTCATTTTCAGCCCCGGAGATCCTAGGGGTCCCTGGATTCCTACTCCTGCTTGCCTTTGAGAGAGAGAAAGAGAGAGAGAGTGAGAGAGAGAGAGAGAGAGAGAGAGAGAGAGAGAGTGTGTGTGTGTGTGTGTGTGTGTTTGGTGTGTGTGTACGTTCGGAGGAGGAGGAGAGAGCTCCCGAGTCCTTTTATTTTGCAAGCCAGGGCGACATTCTCTCCTACATCAAGTGGGGTAACTTTGATTCGCCTCCCCCGGGGGTTCATGCATTGGAGGACGACTCAGTTGGAGGCGACTCCAGGGAGTCGTGGTTTCCCCCAGCCCAGCGCCGGGCCAGGGAAACGCAGCTCGGGTCCGGATTGCGGGCTGCCGGACTGGAGAGGCCGGCCTGGCATCGCCGACTTCCCGGGGCGCCCGGGCCCCCTTGCCCAGCCGGGCGGCGCTGGAAGGCGCCTCCGGCCAGCCGAGCGCCGCAGCCCGGCTGCTGCTGTCGCTCACGGCCGCCGGCGCCGGCCGCGCCCGCACCGGGTCCTTTCCCTCTCCGACCTCGGGCCGGGAAGGGCCGGAGGGCGTCCCCCCCGCCGGGGCGCAGGCCCCAGCCCCCCGCGCCCCCTTTGTCCAGCCAGCTGGAGCTCCGGCCCCGAGCCCCGACTGCCGCCTCTGCTGCCTTCTCGGGCGGGCGCGGAGCGCGGAGAAAAGTTCAAGCCTTGCCCACCCGGGCCGCGGCTGCCTGTTAACCCTCCGAGCGCTGCGGCGCGTGGGAAGGGCCAGGCGACCGAGGAGAGGGGGGCGATGGAGACTTGGTCCTCCAGCAACCAACTCTGCATCTCGGAGATCTCGGGAAGTTTGTGTGCAGGAAAGCAGCACTTCGAGGAGGCCAGATCGGAGGTGCTGGCGGCTGAGGGGCACGCCCAGCCCTGCTCAGGGGCCTGTGGTTTCTGGGAGCAGGGCGACCCAGTCCCCCGAGGCCTCCCTGGCAGCTACGGGACTCGGGATGAGCTGGCAGCCTACAAGTGGGTGGGTAACATCAAGGCAGGGCCAGACAGAGGAGGGAAGGAGACAGGGAGTGCCTTGGGGTGCTAGGAATGGGTGTTGAGTTCCTGGCCAGGACTGCTGGGTGCCAGTGGGAGAGGCACACGTGTGAGGGTGTGCGGGAGCTAGGGTCCCAGGCAGGGGCGGCATGTGGAGATGCAGTGCAGCCTTCTAAGGGGAGACCACTGCTGGATCAGTGTTGGGGCCAGACTTTGGAAAGGGGCCATTGTCCCAGGAACGCAGTGCCCTTGGAAATGACTCAAAGTGGAGAGTGGGGGCCGATGATAGTGCCCGGAGGCAGAGTACGTGCCTGGCTCCTGACTCCCTTCTTCCCTGGATACACAGCCCCCATTCAGGACTGCCCAGTTATACGCCTCTTCTACCAGGGCTTTGCTGGCTGAGTCTCCTGGGGTCCCTGTAGTCTTAAGTCCTGCCACAAATCCCATGCCTGTCTGTGAACCAGTTTTTCAGACTTTCTGTCCTCTGACGATCCCCCAGGCTGTTTGTGTGTATGGATATCCCAATTTAGCAGGGTGGTTCAGAGCATGCCTCTGCTTCAGAGCCAGCCTCTCTGCCATATGCTAGTGGTACCACCCTGGGCAAGCTGCTTAACCTCTCTGATCTTCCAGGTCCTCCACTGTAAAATAATCTATCACCTTCCTAGGATTGCTAGGCAGGTTGGATTGCATTTAACAGGATGTCCTAGGTAACACATTTACCATGAGGCCTGGCTCACTGGGAGCTGTCAGGGTCTGCGAGCGTTTACCACCACCTCACCTAGGACTTTACAGTTCTTTTCTCTGGGATCCTGTTTTGACCTCAGTTGGGATTCCTGGGCTTACCCAAAGTCATGCTTCCCTTCGAGCGAGAGGGACCACACGACAGCATCCAGCAATCCCTATGCACTAGGGGCTTCTCACAGGATGTCTTTTGCAAAGCAACTGGTGTGTCTCCTCGCCCAGGGTGCAGCTGGCGCAGGTGTGTTCTGAAGGCTCTCAGCTCACTCCGTTTCTTTAGAATGGGGGAACAGAGGTTTTACGGTGAATTGCATTGCCTGCCCTGAGAGACTTATTCTCTCTTAGATTGTTATGCATAATCAGAGCAATTGTCCACATTAGGACAGTAATTGATAACCTGGTAGCAATACCACCTTGCAGAGAAATCATTTTGGTGCAATTCAGTTAACTGGAAAGGGGTTCCAGTGCAGAGGGCTGTGTGCCATAGCGAAAAGTGGGGAAAGACTTGGAGCCTTTGAGTCAACAAGCAAAACACAACTCTCCTGAGGCAGAGAGAACACAGAAGGAAGGGAAAAACAATGTCATAAAGCAAGTTAGTCACTCGGCCCTAGTGGTGTTGAGGCAAGCATGCGTGTGTTTTTCCACAAGAGTTGTGATACGCTGGGTCTGGCTTTGGAAGCCATCAATCTCTGTGAGTTTATTGGCCAGGCTGCTGTTTGAGGCGTTTTGTAAGCGGGGACAGGAATTCTAAGCAACAATGGCTGGAAGCTGGCAAAGCTGTGGAACAGTCACCTGTCTTTCCCCCCGGGGCGTTTTGGGAAAGGCTGGACCAGAAGTGGCCTCTGGAATTTGGCTACCATAAATAATGAATGTGAAACAAACCAGGAGAGGCATGAGCTGGAAATTGTGCTGTCAATATGATTTTCCCCCTATTTGGGTATCACTTACAACTAGCCAGAAGTTCTAACAATGAATGAGTAATCCCCCAAGAATTAGAATTTTAGGGAGTGGTTCACGTTTGGAGAGCAGTCACTTGGGAGTGACTAAAAATGTCCCACGGAATTCTGAGATGTTGATTTAAAATGGGGAGTTCTTTCTTGGAGTCAGAATCTTGATTTTCAGGATTTGAAATGAGAATTGGTGTCTTTGAATGCCCCCGCAACTTTGTATGTTATATTTTAAGGGCAGTGTTTATTTGCAGAACCTTTTTGATGAGGAGGAAAGACAGAGTTACAGAGAGCACCACTGGCCCTGAGATGGGTTCAACACGTAGCAGCCTTAGGATTTCACAAGCACTAGGGACACAGAAATACAATGATGAAAGGAATCGAAGTGGTAGAATTCACGTGTCTGAACAATTTTTTTAGCAAGTCTCAAAGAGATTTAATACACGCAAACCTGAATGTGTGGTCTGGAATTTATGTAATGCCACTGTCTGTCTTAAAAGCCCCAACAGTCATTTTAGTTAATCTCTCCTACTCGCCTCCCTCCCTTCTTGCCTTTTCTATCTTTAGCCCTTGGGTTTTGTATTAAGTAAAATCTATTTCCTCCTCGAAGTATCCTCTAGGTGTTACAGTGAAATTGTCCAGCAAACCAACGTACCCCATCACTGCATTATCTAAAAGTACCAGCATTTGGGTGTGTATGTTGAGTCGCAGCCTGAAGTTCACTGTTTAGGTAAAAGTGCAACTAGGTTCTTGGGAATATCCTTCTTTCTCTCCTTCCTTCCAAAAAGATAGTTGCTGGGGAGTCCAGTTAATTTCTATTTAGTGGAAGGCAAGGAAAAGGACAAACTATAGATTCAACGCACATCTGAACGACAGTCATATTATCTAAATAGCCAGCAGTATTTCATATTTCTGTGTGTTCATTTCTGTGTGTTTTGATCTTATTTTAATACCTGTTGAAAAATTTCTCCAGAAGAGGGCTCCATCCACAGCATTACAAAATTCTGAATCTACAGCTCATATTTTAAAGAACTTGAGTCTAGCAGCTCCATCAAAACCAAACTGAAGTATTCTCCTTATTCCCAATTATTTGCTACAAGCCCTCCCAATGAGATGTCCTGTCACTTTGCACTGAGTATCTTTGTCTTTCTTTCCTCCTTTTTCCCTATTGTAGTTGCTTCTGTTCTATTTTATTCGTCAACTATGTATCCCCCCTGAGTATTAGAGCAGGGAAAATTTCAAAGACCTTTGTAGACAATGCAATATGGAATGTGAGGAAGTTCTGAAATTTCCTGGTGTTTGACTTTGGTGGGACCTGGTTTTACACTTTAGGCAGCCAAAAGGCAGGCACAGTTCTGTCTGTGAAAGAAGGTAATCTTCTCCATTAGGTAACTACCCAGAAGAGTGAATCCTGAGATAGATTCGCTCACCCTCCAACACCAGTTGAAAAGGAGAGGGAAATATCAGTCTGTCATCCAATTATAACAATCAGTTGTGCAGAATCAAATCCAGTGACCTGTGGTTTTGGCGTTGTTTCCACTTAGCTGTCGGCAAGGTGCCTGCACGCCTGGGAGAATCTGACCCTCCCGAAGGATGCTGCCAATACAATTCCCCGTAGCTTGTCTCCTCTGCAGCCACCTGGAGACTCCAGGCCTGGCTCCCTCTACCTGAGCAGACTGCATGAATGATGACTGGCTAGACCGCAGGATGCCCTGCACTGTCATCGGGCACTCAGTAGTAGAGGCTTTATTCTAGGGTTAGGGTAGAAAGCGATTTCTTTCTCTACTGAGAGAAGCAGTTAAGGGCAGGCTAGAGAGAAGAAATGTCATTTCAAACATGAAATGTGGACCGAGCCGGGGCTCATGGAGGTGAATGGGCTTAGCAGATCACCCTCTGGCTTAGCAGATTGAACCTTGAGATATCTGCTTGGTGGGGCTGAAGTCCATCCATTCCAATTCTGCAACTCTGGCTTCTGGGCAGAGGTTGCAAAGTAGCAGCACAGGCCAGATGTAGCTCATGAATGTGTGTTGTTTGGCCCAAATGTTTTGAAAGTGGGAAACTGTACATTGAAAAATCCAGTTTTCTTACATTTCTTAAAATATCAGAAAGTCAGGCAAGCCTAGAGCCACATTCCTACATGGCCAC